TTGTTTCCAATTCACACTGGGCCCACGCGGTGGGTTACTGCCCAATCTCCCTATTCCATTGTATTCCCTAAATAAAACTACTACCATTGTATTCCATCTATAGAAATTAATAGGCGTAGGGTGATAATGATGACCCATACAACTCGGAAAGGGATCAATACCGACTCGCCCTTTGGCTTACTGTCAAACAGGCGTCCACCTAATGTAAGCGGATAAGCAGTTCCAGTACGTTTGGATATGCTCTGGCTAGCCTGTGCAGCGCTTACGACTCGCCGACCTCTGGTCGATGGCTAGGCTAAACCACTTAAATCCGAGTGGTGACTTTCTCTAGCGGAATGGTCCTAGTGCGGAATGGGCTGAGTGCGGAATTGCCCCAATGCGGAATGGGCGCGGTGCAGAATAGGCTCAGTGAGAATTGGCCCAGTGCGAGAAGCGACCCAGTGTGGAATGGACCCAGTGCGGACGGTCCCGGTCCATCGCACACACTCCTGGTCCACTCCCGGTCCATCACTCACCAAACAAAAATTTAAACCAGGTCCACAACCATCGCCGTCAGTGGACGCCCACCTCGTTGGCCAATTAGCTACCCGCCCAGCTGCCTAGCTAGTTACCTAGCTAACAGTTATTTTTAATAATTTGTCGCCGACCAGTCTTACGCACGGGAGAAGGAACCACGACCAATGGGACGAGCGGCCGACACTTTCTTACGCGCACGGGGGGTAATCTTCATACAACGGAATGCAATCATAGTCGGCCGCCATAACTGGAAATAAGTGACATTTCTTTTTTTTAATTTTGATGAAATTGCTTCTTTGACAAGCATGACATGACGCATGACATGTATGATACGCCGGCCGGCCTTATTGTTCATTGCGATTTGCGTTTAACGTGTTGATCGAGTCAAGTACTTGTGCTTATTACTCTCCACTTTAAATGCAATTAGGCCTTCATTGTTATTCGTATTTTACGATGTAATACGAGTGCTGTGTGTGCAAAAGATCGCGACAGGACGCTTTATTATATCATTTTTCTGGCAACTGGAAAAGACTTACTATGTGGTTAAAGTGTATAAATCGTGATGATTTGAAGGCATTACCTAAAGATCAGCTTTCGAATCTTTTCGTGTGTCAAAAGCACTTCGAGACTCGTTTTATTACGTCGGAATCACGGCTCAAAAAAATTGCTTATCCATCATTGTTCACTGAAGTCAAAATATTGAGTGGAATTATTGTCACCTCCACCTATTACAAAACAGTGTCTTATGCAATAAGTCAGCAAAAAAGTTTATCAACATTATATATATAAATTGTATTTAATAAAATTTATTTTTCAGATGGCACTGTGAAAATCAGAGGGGTGAATTTAAATATTATTTATGACCCCTGTCATTTGATTAAGGGGTTGCGGAATAACTTTATAATTAAAAATATATTAATGGATGGGAGAATTTCCAAATGGAGTGATATTGTTGATGTCTACAAAACAGACTGTAGTCATGCTGAGGTCAGTCAGGCTATTACATAAATTGAATGACGAACATGTTATTCCAGAAAAGATAAAGAAAATGAAGGTGGGTTCTCCTTCATTACTACAAAGAAATAATCTTGCAAAGCTAGTACAGTCAGCATCAAAAGTACAATCATCTGATGCTGACCATATCATATGTCTTACATAATATCTGGTTGGTGGTCTTACTTATTTTGTCTTGTCAACATTTTATTGAAATTTGTATTTTGTTATAGGTAAAGAATTGTGTAAAAGTATTAAGCAGTACCATGTCTGCTGCATTATCGTACACTGCAAAATTTGGTAAGTATATTTTATAATACTGAATAAACATTTAGTTCTGTTGTACTGAAGTAAAAGGTGTGTCATGCTCATCTTAGATAGAAATAAAATAAATTTAATGTTATTTCACTAACAGACAAAGTAATGGTCATAATATGACATGGTACAACAGGACTCGTAAAACAATCTATAGATACAACAGGACTCATAAAACAATCTATAGATAGTATAGTACAAAATTGCTCTTTCTATATGTACCCCTAAAACTTTTAATCTAGGCATCGGATTCCATGCAGTTTTTAGCAATAAAGAAGAATGATCGAAGAGGAACATTTACATATATATTATAGTATACATTTCATTCGTACGAAGCTGGGGGCGGCGTTTTAGTATAAGTTATAAATATTTGTAAAAAGATATTATTTTTATAGGATGTTTAAAATATTGTTTCAGCGCACTATGCCGATGGTAGACCCGTCAGTGAAACCCTGGACAACACCGCAAAGACCGTCTTATTCTTAGACCAATTATTTGATAGCATAAACGGAGCCTCCATGTTAGGGAAAAAATCTAAAGGGAAGTGTCAACGAACGGCGGTCACAAATAATTCACTGCATCATGTATTCTGGAATGAATCTATAAATAAATTACAAAAATGAAATATGTCGATAATACAGGAACAGAAAAGTCAGTGCCCTCATTGGCAAATTTTATAACTACATTAAAAAGTTATCAGAGGCTGTGGCAGCTTTTTAAAAAAGAAAATATGAAGATAATGCGTCCAAGATATTTTAATTCTGACCCTATTGAAAATTTCTTTGGGCAAGTGCGAGCCTATAATTTTAGGAACAATGACCCAGACTGCCACAGCTTCAGCTGCACAAATAAATCCTTACTAATAACTAGAATACTAAAATTTCATAATGAAACGTTTAATTGTGAGGATGACCCGGCTGATCAAGTACTTAATTTGCAAACACTGTTTGATGACAGAGATATCATGCCGGGTCATCCCAGTATTGATATGATTTTAGAACAGGCACGAAGAGAAAAAATAAATGTACACTCACGGGCCTATACTGCTGGATGGGTAGTGCGAAAGGTATTGCAAAATTTAAAAAGTGGTCGCACAACATGCAAAAATTCCCTCACCACCAGGGACTTAACTAATATACATGTTTGGATAAGTCACAGAATATACAAAAGCTAAAAACCGGTTGCACTACCCATCAGAAGGTGCAGTAAGGTGCTTTGGTAGAATAATTAACGAATCAAATGAATACTTAGAAATAAAAGGACATGAAACAAATATAGCCAAGAATATAAAAGAAGTAGTTATTTTTAAGTATTAATTTGATTTTATTGTATGTTATATGTTTATTGTAAGTTATTGGTAATAGATAATTTTGTAAATTTAGTTATTAAATTTGCCATAATCAATTGGTGCAGAACAATAAACAAAATACTAAAGGGCACTGACATTTTCCGATTAAGTAATTGTTCTTTGCCTATGACGCAAAAAATGGCGTTGGAAAAATATAATAAAACATTAAAAAATAAATCTTTTAATAAATAATTCATGTGTTTTATTGAAGTTCCTTTAATTATGAATAAAAATTCCGATTAAGTGGGATACCTAGGTACCTAAAATTTTATGGATGAATAAAGTTGAGCCTTAGCCACCCTTTGACAAAATTTTAAAAAGTAAGTAAATGTCATACAAGACTAGAAGTACTTGTGTAGACGCTAACTTTTTTTTGTACTAGAGTCGGTCGTCTGATACGTAGTATCTCTAACTAGTCTGTGCTTACGCGCCTCGCACAGCATCGCACGGGCCCAACCGCGTTCATATTAAGTATAACCACGTCGATGTAAAATAATCTGTTTTGTGATAAATATACTAGTTTACTATAATTACAGTCCACATCATTTAAATTCCCCATAGGACCCTTATCACAATTTGTTTGAATGAGTTTTTATGTAATTTTGTGTAGTACATTACACCGCCGTCTCTCCAGCTTCTTTCTTGTCCTCTCCATCCTAAAGTTGGCTGGAAGAAATCGCTCTTAGCGATAAGACCGCCCATTATTTCACTGTATTCTTTAATTATGTACTTCTTGTTTTATAGTAATTTGTGTTATTTACGGGATTGTTACCATGTATCATGAAATTTAGCGAGTTTCCGATATTTCGGCACTGTTGCAAGTAATTGCGGGTAGGTTGTTATTGGCAGACATATTGGTCTATCCTCCGACGAAGTCTTTTATTGCTATCGATACCCGTACCACTGTTCACATTCTCACTATCCACTGGAAACTGTTCTCGACACTATGTCGTAGCGTGGCGTAGTAACTGACGGAATTACGTCAGTTACTCCTTGATCATGGCGCTTGTAAGAGTGCCGAAATATCGGAAACTCGCTAAAAACAAGGTACATGGTAACAATCCCTAAAAAAAAATACTATAATGCTAGTGAGCATGAAAGTTTAAAACAATATTTCATGTTTTATGTCTTCTGAGGTGTAAAAATAAAGATTTTTGTATTGTATAATCGTAGATTACTAAAATAGTCAAAGTTCGACTGATAACGCGTCGATGGCGCAGGTGGTTAGCGCGTTCAGCTGCGATCGTTGAAGTAAAGCAACTTTCGCAGTGGTCGAACATTGGATGGGTGACCACTAAGCTAGAATATAAGGTGGCCCCGTTGGCGCCACCTTATATTCGGCGCCGCCTCCCTTACTTAACTTCGCTACTGTACCCACATGGGCAAAGCATAGGGGATATATTGGGGGAACAAGGGTGGTTAATGCCAATCCTAAAATTCGAGTGTAGAAAAATATCTTTAGTTTATAAAAAAAAATCATCCTTAAAAAATAAGATTTCTTGGTGTGGTATTTTAAAAAACGCACTAAAGAATCTCACCAGAAACAATGTTCATGACAAATGTTGCCGAGTCGAGACCGTATGACTGCACTGTCAAATAGTTATTAGATATCATGTAGAGCTAAGCTTCTCTCTCTAAAAGTCCTAATTTCACAAACACTACACCTAAATCAACTGTCTAGTTTACACGGTTCATGAGATACAGCCAAGTGACAGACAGATAGTGGAGTCTTAGTAATAGGGTCCCCTTTTTACCCTTTGGGGAAAAGCCTAAAATTTTTTTTAGATTTTTTATAACTATTTAAAGATCCCTAGGGATTTGCAAAGTGTTGTAAACAATTTGTATTGAAAAAAAGACATCAATTCAAAGGAGCCTTTATTTATAATTAATGATAATTTATTCAGTTTCATTTACAGCCTCAGGTATATCTGAAATAGAACAGAGATAACTTAACATAGGATCAATATTACATATTTTACATTAGTTTAGAAAAATGCTTTTCAAATAATATGCTCTACAAGATAAATAATTAAATACCTATATTGGTTTTAAAAATCTATTGAAGTAAATAATGAAATAATAGTATAGGCATTCTTAAAATTATTAAAGCTGATAGGTTTGGCTTTTATCTAAAATGAATACGTTAATTGGTATGTACATAATATTAATACGTAAAAAATGGTGGCCGCAGAATAGAACCTTGTGGAACACCAAATTTAATCAAAATAATAATTTGGTGAGAAATAATGTATTATTACTTCGCCATGTTGTCGTAATCCAAGGAGACTCAGTGGTGATGTTTCCAAGAGTACAACCACCAGGTGCTAGTTGAACGCATGTCTGAAATATAAAACACAAACATATTAATACGTGTAGACCAGGATTAAGCCTTAGTTTGAAGAATTTTGGTTCAAGTAGCTTTGAGAGCGGACGCGAGCTGAGAGACATTTGAGAAATATGTATTTGAAAAAACCTATTGCCGTCGCACATTGGCAAACACCATGCGATAGGGACAGCAATAGGTAACGATGGAAATTGTGTATAAAAATTGGCAAATTCGCAAAATTCCTCCTGGAAAATTATATATATGTAAAAGAAATTTTACCCATAAAAATAATAAGTAGCTATACTAAACCTCTAAGTCTTTTCCTTTTTTTTGTAAATGTTTGGTGAATTAGTAACAAGACATCTTCAGTAGAGATAAAAAAATGACTTTATTTGGCATTTTCGTGGCTTCTAGTTTCTTTGAAACGCAAGTTATCGAAAAAGGAAGACATAGGAGCATTGAGTGTGTATGCTGTTGGTCGTAGATGACCTTTACAGCGTCACCGGGTTTGGGGACGGCGAGATCCTAAGGGGACCTCAAGCCGAGAATTGGTAAGTGCCTCTAGAGGTATTCCAGGCGGATGGCGTCTCCCTACGGGGGGAGTCTCCTCTCCGTCTGGAGCCTCTAGACCACTCGAACATGAGGGGGTCGGCTCAACTAGAGGGCGTCTCTGAGACTCGGACCTCGGCTCTAGTTAGTCGTTGTCGTGGGGATCTTAACACCAGCATAACATAAGTGTTACGGTCGGGAAATTGAAATTCATAGGTCTCGATAGGAAATGAGATTGGCAGTACATGGTACAAATCCTGCTTATTACTACCTATATAATGATGGTAACCAATAGGGAAGATGCATATATAATATTTATAAAAAAATTATGATTAAAATGTTAGAAAAATATAAAAGAAATGCCACTGCAACTTTTTTATTTTACATAATGTAGTTTTTTAACAATTATTACGAATTAAAAATACTTGAAACGGAACGTATTTTAAAACACCAATCAGCGTTTAGTGACGTCACTCCTGTTATGACAACTTCTTTGAGGTTATGGTTGTTAAAGTAAATATTATTTTATGGGAATATTTATTGCGTTTTTTTACATTTAATAAAAATGGAAGTTGCGTTTATCAAAGCAGACTCCAGGAATTTACCAATAGTTAGCGTTGACTTGGTTATAACTTTATTTGTCCAAAGTGCAGAGTTTTTAAGTGTAGATATGTAAGGGACTAAATTACTACGGTATGTAAAAATCGTAGTTGTTAAACTTCGTATTTTATTCAGCGGCTTCTACAAATCTTACGGCGATAATGCAATCGGCTATGTCCAAATTAAAAGAGATGGAAAATTATGTACAGTAAAAAGTCGAGTTCTCCGGAGCATAAAGTACGTAAAGAAGGTTATCGTGTTACAGTTATTTTAAATGAAACGCAAAGCTTGGTTCAGTCCTGCCAATGTGAAGATTGTGCCACACATTTTAAACTTTATCTAATTTTCGACGTCATTCTCCAACTGTAAAATTAAAAATATGTTATAGACAGGTTTTGTAAGTATTAGGTAGGTTACTAATGCGTTTTTACGTACAAGCAGATTAATTAAGCATATAACAAGTATATTCGCCGACTTACGTCAAAGTGATCTTCTCAGCATCGAATAATGGTCTTTGGAGAATAATTGTCATTTCTCTTCGCAGCTTGAAACCACTTTTTTTCAGTTTTGGGTCAGAAGTTCCAGTCAAAAACAATTTATTTGGGAACTTTGTTGAAGTAGATTGGCACAAAACATGAGTCAACACGGCTTTTTTTCGGAATATTAGTGGTATTATTATGATGTGATGTTGATGGATAGTCCATTTTAAATTTTTCAAAAAAATATTTCGAAATTCGAAAAAATATGCAAAAGTATGAAAATTTAAAGCCAGCAACGAACAATTACGCCCAGTGACAGACAGGAGTGACGTCATCGCAACCATAGGTTCGTTTTCGCGCGAAAATTTAAATTGTCAATTTAAAACCGCATTTTTTCCGATAAATCACAATGTTTTAATTTTTTAATATATCTGTGGTTTATTCTACATGGAATTCTTCAAAATGAAAACAAAAATAAAAATATTGCATCTTCCCTATTATTTATTCGGATCACCAAGAGAAACGCTTACATATTTCTGAAGAAATGACGACCTCCGTGGCCGAGTGGTTTGTACGCCGGGTTTCATGGTGTCGCCGACTCGAGAGGTCCCGGTTCAAATTCAGGTGGGGGCAGATGTTTGTGTGATGAATACGCGCATTTGTACACCAGTCATGGATGTTTCATATGTATTTCTATATAAATATACTTATATATGTACAGTATAAATAATGTATTCTATCCGTGACCCTAGTATCCCATAACACAAGCCTTACAGTGCTTATTTTGGGGTTAGGCTGACTGTCGTGTTTAAAAAAAAAGAAGAATAGATTTCCAATAAGGGGCGTATTTACCCTGGGACCAAGTGGGCTCAGTGGCTAAGGAGATTGGAGGGGCGTCAAAGCCATATAAAGACATTCGTTACTGACCTATATTTTGATTGATTTACTGATTCTAGGGGCGAGGGTCATTCATCATACATCATCAGCCTATTAATGCCCCCACTACTGGGGCACAGGCCTTCCCTATGGATGAAATAGGGAGATTGGGCCATGACCCACCACGCGAGCCCAGTGCGGATTGGCGGGTGCTAACGAACGTGCCTTCCGAAGCACGGAGGAACTCGATTTAGAAGATTTGTGGTCACCCATCCAATGTTCGACCACTGCGAAAGTTGCTTTACTTCAAGATCGCAGCCGAACGCGCTAACCACCTGCGCCATCGAGCTTCTCAGGGGCGAGGGTGAAAATCTTAAATTGCCCGGCGTGACTACTTTGCTTGCGTTCCTTGGAAGCAGCGCGGCTTCAGTGACAGGGACCTATCGGACAGCGCCGTTGCCATTACTGAGGAAATTGTAATGGGTATGGATTATTATATTCCACATTCTAATTTCATCAGTAAGGCTTAACGTAACCCTTGGTTCAATCGTGACCGTGCTGAAGCTGTTTCGCGCATGCAAGCGGCATGTCGTGCTTGGATCGCTGTTTCGCGTATGGCCTTTGATCCAAGCACGATATGCCGCTTGTCATATCGTGCTTGGATCAGAGGCCGCACTCTTAAGGGTTCTGAGATCGATTCACTAAAAGCAGCCTACAATTTTGCTTGTAAGAAGGCTTATATCAGAGAGAAACTTCAATTACAGATGATAACGACATGCAATGAATACTAGCAATTAAATGTAAAAACATCTCGCTAATGGAGTCGATTCTGGCATGATTGTCTAAACCTAAACTTAAATTTGACAACAGTGTATCCTTGTATACAGAATGAAAAAGAGAGACTGATGTTTAATTTAGTTTTAAGTTTAGAGAATAATGCCAGAGTAGATACCAACATACTTTACTTAAAATTCTCGTGTCACAGTGTTTGTAACATAATTCCTCCGAAACGGATTAGCCGATTCTTATGAAACTTTGTGTGTACTTACATTCAGTAGATCTGAGAATATTACATTAACTACTTCACAATGAGGGTGGGTGGTGTACCCAAAATTTTTAAATTCAATTTAAATATGATTCGGTATTAAAAAAATCATACAACCCTTAATTTTTACCTTTACACCCTCTATTACCTATTTTATATATCCTATCTACCTCTGTTTTATTATCATATTACAAAACATGTTTTGGGAAAAAAACTTTTCTTTCGCAAACATGTTTTGTATCATATAATTTTATGTGTACAATACTTACTCTCAGTTGGACATTATACTCGTGGCCCAATGTGCAGTACATTTGTATAGAGGTAGACCCCAAACACATAAAGAATGAGTTGCACAAGTTTGGATGTGGAACTGTGCCCATGAACCCCGTAGCACAGAACGGAGCTGGTGGTGCTGATGTGCTGCTCGGCACTATTGTTCCTTCCATTCCTCCCGACGTAGAGAAACCTGTAAATAAACAATAGTCATATTATTATTATTAAGCATTTAACAGCTAGATATTTAAATATAAACCAAATTTTAAATAGAATAATTCCACGCATAATTGTGATAATATTACAGGCAGTGATTGCAATTGTAGTCGTCTCCAAAGAACTGAGGCTATTAAGTATTTAGGTGTCATCATTGACCAAAAACTTAACTTCCAAAACCATAAAGATATGATCACAGCAGGACTACGTAAACTAATCGTAATATTTAAATCATTAAGACATGTCGCTGAATATAATGTCATAAAGTCGGTATACTAGAAACGGGAAAGAAAGAAAACTGTTTTTATTGTTGACAGCACATAAGATACACGTAAAATACAAAAATACATTAAACATATAGTAAAACGAAACGAACAAGTAAAATCAAAAACAACAAAAAACAGCTAAAGAATGTGTATTTTTTTTTGTATATTATGTGATGCCAGCCAACACTGGATATTGCTCAGCATACACAACAGGTAAAATACCTGCTGCACTGGTATTCTGCCATACCCAGAGCAGTGACATCACAGAAAACATTATTAAAAATAAAACAAATACAAATTAATTACCTCCTAAATACAAATAGAAAAGAAATCGCACTATAAGTCAGAACGGTCAGAATACATCACAATATCACAAAATCTGTGGTAGAAAATTGTTTATGATTACAGAAGTGGTTGGTTACGACAGCTTGTTCAATGGACTTTGACCTTTTTTTAAAAAAAAGTGACACGTATACAATAAGAAAAAATATTAAATTATCAATTAACTGTAAGACACCATGATAGATAAATTAGAAAAAGTTTCGGCTGTTACAAAAAGTAATATAATTTTGGAAAATAAATTAAAAAGGTAAGGAAAACGGATATTTAAACGGGCTGCGCCTGTGACTGCAACAAAAATAACTTGAAATTGTTTTTAAATATGACATATGTTGTTGTACTACACGCTATGTTAATCTTTAGTATCCTACTGCTGCCTAACTGGGGAGGTGTTCCAAAAACCACTCTTATAAAATTGGAAAGAGCTCAGAGAGTCATACTAAAAGGAGGTTATTCATTGCGACTTGCACTCGACGGTGGAGCTCTATAGAAGATGCAAGAAATTAACTGTTCGGCAGCTTTTTGTTCTCCAAATCGTATTTAAACTACATTCAGTAATAACATATAAGATCCAAATAAAATACACGTAAAAAAGGAAATATTAGCCAAATAAAAAGATGTAATACTGTACTCGCGCAGTGATTTTTGAAGTGAAAACTTCTTTAGCGGTGTTGTACACTTTTTTTTGTATGGGTAAAAAATGTTAAACTCGCGTCAGGTGAAACACGTGGGCTGATCGCATCATGACACACAATACAATTGGAAAGGTTGTTGACTTTCAATATATTGGACGAAACAAAGTAATCATTTATTTTATCGTATTATAATAATAAGTCTGTATCTAGGACGTCCAGGTGGCAGCTTTATTGCGAAGAAAGTGCATTTTTTTACAATAGATGTCGCTAGGTGCGCTTAAATGGTAATTGTGAGGTAATTCGTCACTGAGTCTCTTTTATCTTAACACACTGAGTACGATTGATAGGTATTCATTGAAAAGCTTCAACTGTACATCTCTGATACTAAGTCCTTCAAGCTTTCTGATTAAGAAAGGAATAGAGACTGTGTCAAACTCTTTTTTTTGATATCTAGGACTATAGCCAGAGTTTTCTTTTTATTGTCCATATTAGTAACTTTAATATTTGTGAGTTCATGTACTGCATCTGCAGTAGATCTTTTTGACCTAAAATCATATTGGGCCTGTGACATAAGAATATTTTCTTCTAGATATTTAACTAATCTGTTATTAATTACTCGTTCTAGAATTTTAGATATCACCGGGAGTATGGATATAGGTCTGTAGTTGTTGACACAATCTCTACTGCCACTCTTGTGGACGGGCTGGATTCTTGATTTCTTAAACGCATTTGGCAAAGAACCATTTGATAAAGCTAAGTTACATATATGTGTTATTGGCGCAATTAGAATTCCACTATATGTTTTTAAAATATTTGCAAAAATGAGATCCAACGTAACCGCACAGTTACTCTTCAAATTCCTTATTAATGATTCTATTTTATCATAACACATTCAAATAGTACAAACGACTTTAGAGATGTTCTACGGACATCACTAGACTGACATTGTGGTTCCGCCTCTACAGCAATTTTATCTGCTAGGGTTTTCCCAATGTTGGCAAAGAAATAATTGACATCATTTACAGCTTTATGAGGGTCTTTATTTCCTAGAAGATTTGAGGCTGTTTCGTTTTTAGTGACATTATATGCGATGCTTTTTAAGCGTCCCACATTTTTTTTATTACCATTAGCACTCTTTAGGAGGTGTGTTTATAGTGTTTTTAGCTTTTTTATAATTGCTGAATAGAAGTTTCTATATCTTTCGAATGTTGTTGCAAATATTATTTTCAGGATTAGCTTTATATCTACTATATAAAAATAAGTCGGGTTTTCCTTCCTGACGCTATAACTCCAGAATGCACGAACCGATTTCCACGGGTTTGCATTCGTTGGAAAGGTCTCGGGCTCCGTGAGGTTTATAGCAAAGAAAATTCAGGAAAAATATCAAAAAAAAAAATCTTCTTTTAATCACCAAACGAAATGTTACATAAAACGAAGCCATCTGATGGCGAAACGGAGTTTGCCTGGTTGGCTAGTTTTTTATATAAATTACCTCAATTTCTTATACATTTGAAAATGCCTGAAGTTATCCAAGGCTTGAGATCCTTCTGCGACTCGCTATTTTGCATGATTTGTTATTAGCAATTATATTTTTTTTAATAGTTTCAACAAGATAGTTAGATGCTAAATTGTAATCAGTCATTGTATATAAAGTCTCAAATTGCAACCCATTCATGCCTTTGTGCATTCCCTTATCATCGAGATATTTTATAAACTTAACAGTATTAAACATTTTCAAAGAAGCTATATATATTTTTATTATTTAAGCTAAATGCTTAAATCATAAACAAATATTTCTAACACTCCTACCAATTAGGTCAATCCCGCTTGACACCCCAGCTTCATCTCCTGCGGTGACAAGTGGGATTTTTTCTAACAAAGCTAATGAGCCCAAATTATCAACGCATTGTCTAAGAATATTAAGCTCAACTCCAATCTAGAGGATTATAATACTTTTTATAAGGCTTTCTCACATTTTCGTTCAACGTTCTTTTATAGTCTTTATCAAACCAGCGGGCAGAACAGTATTTTTTTAACATTCTTTTTGGGTATATGCTTACTTACTATTTGATTCAAGTATCTGTAAAAACTTCTTACCATTTCTTTCACATCAGAAACCTCACTTAATTCAGCTAACAACTTACGAATTAGTACATAGTTTATGATACAAATCAAATGCCACAACTCACCTGGTGTTGATGGTATATCAGTTGTAAAAGTAGTAAAACCAAGAGTGCATCCACCAGGGGCTATCCGGACACATGTCTGAAATAAAACACAGACATAATTATCTTCACGTTGACGTTGACGTTTCGCATCCTTTTCAGGCTGCGTCGTCAGACTTATCGCAGCCTGAAAAGGATGCGAAAGTCAATAAATAAATAATATCAGTGCATTCATACCCTTGAAACTTGTTTTATTTAATGAGTGGTATGCGTAAAAACCTAAGAAGCTAATTATTTTATTTTTCTTTAGATTTACACACCTAGCATTTAAATGCTGGAAATAAAAATATAACCATTTATTTTGTTTCATTTAAATGGCATACTTACTCCTCGACCGGGATGAAATTCAAATCCGACTGAGCAATGCACTTTTGAAGCTATTCCCCACCAATTACATATGAAGTATGCATCACATCTCTGCGGGTGGGGAACATTGCCATTGAATCCCGGAGGGCATATGGACGGAGTTGTCGTTTCAATATTTTCAGTTGTAGCTAAACCTGAAACCACGATTTTCTTGAATACTTTTATCGATATGCAATTAGGTGTTATGACGCAAGTTGTTATTTGTGACGCAATGTAAATTGAATGTAAAATAATCGGGTTATCATTATTAGGGATAATCTTTAATCGGGGCGGGGGATGGTCAAACAAGATACTTGCTTAATGATCACCTACTCTCAGTATCTATCCGATACTGGGTTTGGCGAACGGGTTAGGGAGAAGCACAAGTCGCAAGGATCCCCTAATCAAGGCCAGAGGACTATCCTTCACGAGGTTGCCGCCAGTTTTTGGTCAAATACCTTATGTAATTGACGTAACAGAAACCTCTGGCCGGACCACAAAATCCCGCATAGCCGAACCGTGGCGGCGCATATCCACACACGGGCTCACATGGCCTAGGGGAACTAAATACCCCCTAAAATATTGTACCACACACCCTTGGGCAGGAGTCGTGTGCGTTATTTGGCATTTCCCGCCAAAGCCCCAAACATAAACATGAGTGCTGAAAAAGAGAAAACAGTACCCCAGGAGGGTATCGTGATTCGCGAAAAATCCCTCACCAAGCCCAGCTTGGTCTGTCCCGCGTATTCTGGAGGAGGGAACAACCAGCGTTCAGGGAAGGGCACAAGCCTGGACCTGTCTGGCCTAGCTGAGGCCATAACTTCAGCCACAACAAGCTCAACAAGCAACACAACACCTACACATACACAGTGGACTGTGATCGCCAATAAGCGCCCTTGCAAAGGGAAGACTGCTAATGCGGCGGCCACCTACAAACACTCAAACAAAGGTTCGCGGGGCCAAACAGAACGCAGTCGCCCCAACCGGCGTGCGAGAAGGGAAGCCCTGCAGCCCAAAACTAAACTAGACAGCACACAGTCGGTCACCGCAGCAGGGAAACACAGCGCGAGCCTGTAGAAATACAGGGGGAGGACAAAACAGACAACACAAAAGCACACAAACAACCACGACGGAGACCGAAACCGAGGGGTGATCGTGGTCGGCGGATCGCTGTGCAGGCTCCCACTGCTACTGAAAAGGAGCAGCCTGGGACTGCGTGTGGCTCGGGCGAGGCAGCTTCTACGAAGCGGCCACTCCTGGACGACACGCAGTCTCCAAGGGAGGATGCCAAACGCGCGAAAACCGACGCGAAGACGAAGCTGACGGTGAGCTACGTAGATGCGAGTAAATCGCATCTGAGAGTAGCGGTCACCACCGTCCCGCCGAGGGACCTCTCGGCTGAGCAGGCGAAGCTGAAGGAGATCATCGACGATGGGATCCTGCAGGTAGTTCTGACTCCGCAGTCTCCAGATGCGCAGACTCCATCATTCCGCGGGCGACCCTTCCTTTCGGATGGGGTGCTAGCGATGTGGTGTGAAGACGAGAACGCACTCAAGTGGCTTGAGCAAATGGTGAAAACCATCCAGTCACCCATACCGAACACCACATTAACGGTCCTTAGGCTGTCGGATGTGAAGAAGAAACTCAGAGCTGGGCTTCTTCTCCACACCCGCATCACTGAGTCTGCCACACTGCAGAAACTCCTTTGTGCCCAGAACCCCTGGTACAAGGTCGACTTCTGGCAGTGCTACTACATGACCGTTGATGACAAACCGGAGCGCAGTTCTAAGGAGAAGGTGGTCCACCTGATCCTTGGAATCTCCGAGGACCAAAAATCAACAATACTGTACAGGGAACGCTGTGTTGCACACATGTCTGGCAGCGGATACATCCGCTTTTTCGCGTCAGACGAAGCAACAGTGGTTGACCCGACAGTAGCGACACCGAGTGCTACTACAGAGCAGGATGGCACTGCGATCCCGACACCCAGCACCTCAGCTTCCCAACCGGGTCCGAGCGAGATGGAAAGGGGGCAGGCCTGAGCTCTGAGGACAGCGTTAGCGACGAAGATGGCGTCCTTCGCAGTCTCTAGTAGCACCATCAACGTAATACAGACCAATTTCCAACACAAGCAGATAGCGGCGGCCATACTACGCAGGTTGCTGGAGACAAACAACATGACCGTCGCCCTGATTCAGGAACCCTGGATCAGAAATAATAGGATTTGCGGCCTGAACAACATCGGTGGTAAGTTACTTTTAAACACATCTATCGATAAACCAAGGACATGTATTTTTACACCCAAGTCTATAAAAACAACCATGCTTAACCAATTCTGTTCTAGAGACCTCACAGCTGTGACGATCCCCACAGATAATCAAACAGTCCTGGTACTAGCTTCAATCTACATGCCGAATGAGGGGGAAATTCCTCCGCGGGATCTGACAGAGCTGGTACGACACTGCGAGGACCACAAATGGGAGTTGATTGTAGCGGGTGACTGCTTATTCCAAACCAACCTTAACATCATGAACATTGTGACGTAGCCCACATTTGTTAGCTCTAGGTACCAAACTATCATAGATATAACACTAGCGACACACGCGGGGGCCAATCTAATCGAAGGATGGTACGTGTCAAACGAACCCTCCTTTGCAGACCGTAGGATATGTTTCCAATTACAATACAGACAAATAGACTCTGTTCCATATCGCAACCCCCGAAAAACAAATATAGCAAGGTACATAGAACTAATAACTAAAACACTAAGCGAGATGCAAATACATGATGAAAATATCCTTGACATAAATAACATAGACAAAACTGCAGGGCCAGATAAGATCCCCCCGATATTTATTATTAGACTCGCCAATAGCCTTGTAACCCCATTAGCCTATCTCTTCAACTTTTCTCTTTCGTCTGGACAAGTACCAAATCTCTGGAAATCGGTATTTGTTACGCCTATCCACAAAAAAGGCCCCAAACATCAGATAGAAAACTATAGACCAATCTCCAAATTGTGTGTTTTCGCGAAAGTCCTTGAAAAGATTGTCTATTCTCAAGTATACTCTGCTATAAAACAAAGTCTTAGTGATTCGCAGCATAGCTTTTTAAAAAGTCGATCTACTACCGCATGGCAGCGGGCTATCAAGTGGATGTCGTGTATACCGATTATAGCAAATGTTTCGATAGGATCGATCATGTTGTACTTTTACAAAAGTTGCAAATGATTGGTATACGCGGTAACCTGTTTCGCTGGTTCAGCTCATATGTTGAGAATCGGAGTCAAATCGTTGTTCTCAATGGTTATCAGTCTACCCCACTCTTAATACCTTCTGGATTACCTCAGGGATCATTTTTAGGTCCCTTGTTATTTACGATATTTACAAACGATATATCTTCTAATTTTTTTCACAGTAAAATATTTCTTTATGCGGATGATATGAAAATTTTATGCCCAATCAAATCAATCTCAGATTGTACTCGATTGCAAGAAGACCTTAACAGGTTTCTATCTTATTGCATTAAAAATAAATTAAACCTTAATATTCCAAAATGTTTCGTCTGTTCGTTTTCAAGAAAACCTAAAGTCATTAAATTTAATTATAGTATTCAGAATAATATACTAACTATAGTTAGTCCTGTTAAGTATCCATATTTTCCGCATATGTGCCGCATATATGCGGGACCTTGCAGTGATTTTTGATTCTAAGCTTACATTTGAGAATCATATTGATTCAATAGTCTCAAAAGCCAGAAAAGCTCTAGGTTTTGTTATACGAATGTCGTCTGAATTTACAAACATTAAAACTGTAAAAATGCTGTATTGTGCTTTCGTGCGCAGCCACCTCGAATATGCCTCGCAAGTATGGAACCCTCAGTACCAGACTTATATTTCGAGGATCGAAGCTATACAAAAACGGTTTCTACGTCATATTCAATTTAAATGTAGGAAATTTCACCATGGTAACTTCAGTAGATGTAAAGCATATCATACTTTACCACTTCAGAAACGCAGAGAAATGGCGGAAATCTCCCTTTTATTGAAGACTGTTAATAGCAGCATCGATTGCCCTGAATTATTAAGCAAAATATTTATTAGTACTGTGGGGTTCTCCCACAATCGTATCTATACATGTTATATACGTATTTAGAAATATTCAAAATATTATATAATATGTATTTACAATTTATAACTACAAATAAATATAAAACATTAGTTATAAATACCAAATATATTTACATTTATATAAAATAACACTTATTATTTACACATTATTTACATTTAATATATAACAATATTTATTAATTACATTCATATACTGTCATCACAAGCACAAACATTTATTCACAAAACAATTACACTATATCGTGCCGTGCATCAGCCGATCTATAACAGTCGTGTGGCGAATGGACACGCGCACTCACTTCGCCGCCTATTGTTCGGCAAACCGGCCGGCTCACGCGCATAGGTCACATTGCACGACAGTCGGAACCTATACTTGACACCGTACGCACGCTAAATTGCTCCGCGCTTGCTAGCCCCTAACCGTGTTATTATTGTTTTTGTTTATGTTGCTTTGTCTGTGATTTTCCTTTCTTCCTCTGTGCTTGTTTATCACTGACTGTGCTCTGTACTCCTTCTATTCTGTGCTTGTGCAAATAAACTGTTTACTGTTGAGTGCTGGACTTATTGTTTACGCCGCCTCCTGACTGCACCGCAGATAAGTACAAGCGAACTATTACCTACCTATCTACACCCAACAACGCTTTACTGGTGACCCCTGTTGAACATCATAATGAGTGATAGCAGTGATTCCGCCAAAACGGTTGACTCCCGTAAGGAAAACGTCACTACCCGCCACCAAAAGAAAAAGCGCGTTTCCATTGGCACACTTCACGAGTCGTCCGATTTTAAACCGCATACCCTGAAGGTTCCGTCATTTTCGCCGGATGATCCCGAACTATGGTTCGCGCTTTTGGAGGGCCAATTCGGAACTTATGGTATTACAGATGACGCAATCAAATTTAATAATGTACTCACCAACCTAGATATTACCCACGCGAAGGCTGTTAAAGACATCATCGTGAGCCCACCGTCTCGAAACCGCTACGAAAAGACCAAGAGCGAGCTTATCAAGCGCCTTACTGCCTC